TCCTCAGTACCCCACGTTCATGTGCATGTGTTGTCACACCAACATAACAAATTTAATCTGAAGTTTTGAAGGGCAAAACACGTCACAAGTAAACTTTTTCCACTTTGTCATACAATTTCCCTAATATATGTGTATACACACACACACACACACACACATATATATATATATATATATATATATATGATATCAAGCATGTCTGATTAAATAATTTAGACATATTATGTTTATTTATTTTTATTTTAGTCCATGAATTAATTTCTTAGTAGCTGTCCTATCTATATTTCTTAGATGAGACATTGTATTTATTTACACTATTTACATTGTTCGGAGTGTTGTCCTCATCTTAGTTGCCATATTCATGATGTTTCAACTGTTGTATTCTCCGGCCTTCATCAGGTGATTGGAATTTTGAACTGAATCCTTTATTTCGTCCACCAGGGTAGATCGTTCTAGTTCCATGTGCCATGCCTCCTCCAAAACTCTGCCCACTTTGTGGAAATAATCAAACATGCTCCCTTACAATCTAACCAGATGGTGTGCCTGGATGTGGTGAGTTTGTTTACCACAGAGTACGTACAGAGGAGCCACTATCGGTAGTCAGGGACAGACTGGCCTCGGACTCATCCCTAGGAGAATGGACCAGTAGACCAATAGATAACCTGATGGAGATGCTGACTTTCTGTACACAAACAACACACTTCAGAATGGGACCAAACATATATCAACAGGATAAAGGCTTAGCAATGGCTCACCATTATCACCAGCAATGGCAAACATATACATGGAATACTTTGAAGAAATGGCATTAGAATCCACATCACTAAAGCCAACCCTGTAGCTAATATATGTAGACGACACTTTCATATTCTGGCCACACCAGCTACTATTGAACCATGTGAATTCAATAAGATCATTGATACAGTTCACAATGGCGGAAGAAAATGACACTCACATTCCTGGATGTACTAATATCTTGAACAGAACATGGGTTCAAGACATCTGTATACCACAAGTCAACATTCACCAGACAATGCCTCAACTTCAACTCCCACCACCCATACAGTGTGAAGAAAGGAATCATTCACTGTTTACAACATCAAGCAAAAGTCACAAGTGGTGATATATATATATATATATATATATATATATTGGTTGGATAGATGTGAGTTTGTGACCCTGGGTTTATCGCTATGTGTGTGTGTGTGATAATATGATTATTTCAAGTATATCAGAAATCAAAATCTTCCACAAACCTACAGACACCCAACAATATCTTCATTTTAAGAGCCATCAACCAAAAAACTGTCTAAAATACATCCCCTCCTATTCCCTGGCATGTAGTATTTGCACTATAGTAGCCAGCAAACATCTCTGAAAAAAAAAAAATAAATAAAAAATAAAAGGCCTAAAAGAATTGCATAAAACTCTCAAAAAACGAGGATACCCCACACCACAAATAAACAAGGGTTTTGAACTAGCAGAAAATATACCTTTAGACCAACAATGAAACCTGCAAAATATAGAATAAAGTTTTTTAAAAAATCTACATTATAATAAAAAAACGTTTGTGGCTTTTTCTCTCTTTAAAATATATATATCAATTATTGTAAAGTTTATTCATTATATAAATTCCAGTAAGTCCACAAACCCTCTTACTGTCATATGTGACTATAGTTACATCAAAGTTCTCATTTTGAGTCCTTTTATCAATATATTTTTTTATTATAGAGAAATATCGATTGTCTGCTTTATTATTTGTATTTCAGCTTTTGAAATATATATTGTTTAGATAAATTTTATGCTTTATTTATTTCTCTTTAACAGAGGGGTGAAAAACTTTGATATCAAATTGTATAAAAGTACAGTTTTTCTTCTGTCTGTATTTCTGAGATGAGGTATTGTAACTATTTACATTGTTCAAACTGTTGTCCTCATCTTTATTACCATATTTGCAATTTTATCAGCCGTTGTACGCTCTGGCCTCCTTCAGGTGATATACATTGAAATAACGCTTTTATCCTCAAGAACACATGGCCCTGGGGTTGGTTGAAGTAATCCAGTGACATAACCCAAAGAGTTGTGAGTTCAATACATGGCTACAGCAGGGGTGAACAAAAGTTACTAAACTGAAACTGAGATATCCAGAAAAAGCATGGCATGTGGAACTAGAACAATCTATTCCAGTGGACTAAATAAAGAGTTTGGTTTGAAATTCCAACGTATATCACCTGAAGAAGGCAGAGTGTACAATGGCCGAAATATTGTGAATATAACAATAAAGATGAGGACAACAGTTTAAACAAGGTAAATAATGTATTAGTTTTTCTTATTTCTAATAATGTTAAACCAATATATTGTTTATATTATATTTTTCCATAGGTTTATGTATAGTACACTTTCTATGCTTCGTGACTTTCAACATGTTTTTCCAAATATATATTTGCTTATTTTTAGAAAAATTCGTTCAATAATCTATGGAACTAGAAAAAGATGTAAAATGTGATTTATTATTTTGCTAGATATAACAAACTTTTTGTGGACATGCAAAATGAAATTAAATAAAATTTTCCAAAAAATGCTTGCAGAACATGAATATATCATGTTATAATTATGTAAATAATCCTTTTATGCTTTGAAATCTAAAAGCATTATTCTTTATTTGATAAAAGTTTTGTTTTTGGCATAGAGTATAATTTGGTAGTTACCATCTAGAATACGAAAAGTTACAATTTAATTTTGATTCTCATCATTTATGATATATATATATATATAAATATATATATATATATATATATATATATATATATATATATATATATATAAATAAAAAGAAAGAACAGTAAGATATAAAATCCGGTGTTCTTATAGATATTTTTATTTTTACAAAATAGTGCTCAATGTAAATTTACAGAGCATTAATATTATAAATTAATTGATTTAAAATATGTTTTTTTTCGCTACACAGTTCCAACCATGTTTCAAAAATAGAAGCTAAAAACCCCGAATTTAATTTTGCAATTAAATTAAAAGCATTAGTTCCATTTCATCTTCAAGCGAATTTTGGAGTAACTTTTAAAAATTACCGGGTTTTAAAGACACAGCTAAAATCACGTTTCCATGGTTACAGAATATTCTACTTAAATTGAACAAGGGATGTCTAGATTTTCCTTATGTCAGTATCATTGTATCAGTTATTAGCTACAATTTGGTAAGGGGTAGGGGATGTATTTTACAATGAAACCTGACATCAGTTGAATGGATGTCGTCTGAATGAAAAAAAAAAAAAAAAAAAAATTGTTAACGGTAAAAAAATTTCAACATTTTTTTAAATTTAAAGATTTTTTTTTTTTTTTTTTTTTTCTAATACTTTTTATTTAACTACGATTTGAAATATTCTCCTTTTTAATTTTTATTTTACTATATTAATTTTTAAGAACAGTTAAATGTATTAGAATCCATTATATTATGTAGGATTATTTTAACATCAAGTTTAAGTATGTATATGAGGTTATTTTTTTTTTTTTTTAAATTTATGACTATGACGGCAAAAATGGTTACTTAATTTCACTGATTTAGTAAACTTTTATTTTATATATAAACCTAGTATTATAATGTTTTAATGTTATATATATATATATATATATATATATATATATATATATATATATATATATATATATATATTTCCAAGAGGATAAAATCATGGTAGAGCTCCTGTCAAAGACAGAACAAGAATATAATATAAAAGGCTCAACCACTAATATTCCATGGTTATAATTTATTACGTTGGAATCATAATCACCATCTAATTCATCAGACCTACAAATTCAAATATATGTGTGTGTGTGTGTGTATAAAATTTAAAAAATTTAAAACTCTTATTTCATACATATCCTCCTTAAACTGACACCTTCTTTTTCCAATATAACTAAACTATAATTTTGAAAAGTTAAAATTTCACTGAAATACGTTGGAAAATATCAAAGCTTTCATCTGAAATCAATAAAATGCAAACTTTAAACAAAATGGTTACAATATACAGAAAAACAAGGTGTCAGTTTAAACTGACATCCACAGCAGAAGGAGGATATAGGTTAAAAATATTGAATATTTCCGAAAGCAAGATAATTTACACTGATGTGCCAATAGTCATGGGATAGCAGTATGTAAAGGTAATAGTAGGTAGCACCATCATATCTTCATGTTATAGAAATGCCCAAACCTTTTTATAAGTTGTGAGGTGATATAGGCTGCTCATTGTTAGAATTATTGGAGTTTGATCAGACCTGATAGTGGATGCCAGATGGATGGGTTATTCCATTTCTGACATTGTAGGGACATTTGACATCCTTTAATCTACAGTGTCAATACCTAATGGAATACATTACTACCCAACATGGACAGCATAATGTCCCTGTAATATTTGCTGAAACATTGTTTTACGAACTGATATTACAGGACAAAATAACACAGTAATCAACATATGTCCCAAAAGGATCCCTGATGATGGCCAGAGGAAACTTGCTGAAACGTTGTTGTCTATAATGACATCTATAACAACCAAGATGAGAAAAATAGTTTGAAATAAAACATGTTGACAATTACACATCTCACAAATAAAATACAAAATTATCGAAAAGTGGTACAAACCCACCATGATAACAAACTGTCAAAAACATCTGACATAGGATATAAAGACTCCATAAATACACCATTGATATCTTTTGGGATGGTGGCAAAGTGGGTATAGGACATAATTAAAATGTCTTGCTGTCATCTAGTAGTCATGAGTTTGATCCCATGATCTGGTATTGAAACACTGGTTCAACAGTAATGAACAAGAACTGATACGAAAAATATGATAACAATAACTAATAAATAACACAATAATTCTCAAATAAACCAAAAGACACCTGATGATGGCCGAAGTGTACTTGGCCGAAAGATTGTCTATAGTTTGAAATAATTATGTTGGCACAAATATTTATAGATATAAAATGTTTAATTTATTTTTTTTTTCTCTCCAAGGAGTTCAAGGCGTATGTGAAACAAATGTAGAGGAAACTGCAAAGAGATGCCTGTCTCGATCCATGACACCAACAATCAGTTCAGGAGACCTGCTCAGAAAGGACATCACCAGCTTGACACCTGGCCAAATGAAAGAACTCTGCCAGTAAGTAGCTTGACATTTTTTGTTACCTTTTTAAATCCTACTTGATAGCTAACTAGTTGACCTATTCAACCTCCTCTGGGGTTAATAACAAGCAAAAATTACTTTTGAAGTTATATTAACTGATATTTTACAAAAACGTCTGAAGAGAGGTGTGTGTGTTTATATGTGCGTGTTTATATGTGTGTGTATATGTATGTGTGCATATATATGTGCATATATATGTATATATGTGTGTGCATATATATGTGTGTATATATATATGTGTGTGTGTGTGTGTATATATATATATATATATATATATATATATATGTGTGTGTCAGCAAATGTAAATGGATATAGATCCGACAGAATGAAGAAAATTTGAAAAAAACAAAAAAAAATCCTAGATTTTTTTGTTTTTTCCAAATCAAGACCTTTATATATATATATATATATATATATATATATATATATATATGTGTGTGTGTGTATATATACATCTTGCCTCACCTGCAATTTTATCTACACCTATTGGTATGCTGCCCTGTATGGGAACCACTCGGTTAGGTGTTTAGCCACTCTCCTTACTAGAAAAGACTGGTGGGGGAGACCATTTGCCAATAATCATGTAGCAGGAGTTATGTGTTTCGTGGCACCTGGATCACTTGTAATGTGACCTGACCTAAATGAGCATAGACTGTGCGTAAGGTATTTGAGGACAGATTGAAGATCATCAGCAAAACAAACACATCTTACAAAGAACTAAATTTAGTGATACAAAATTTGGTACACAGATGCAATAACAATTGGATTACATGTTTATTCAATGTAATCACCTTCAGCTACAATAATAGCTTTGATGTGGGACTCTAATCATTGACATGCTTGCATCACATGGTCTGAATTGATATTTGGTATTAGTAAAGGTAATGGCGTCTTTCTGGGAATCGGTCATATTGTGGGAACGTTGATTAGTCTCCTGTTCAACAACAACCCACATATACCGTAATTCCTCATGTATAATATGTATTTTTGCTAAAAATAATAAGCAAAATTAGGGGTGCATATTATGAACAGCTACAAAAACATCTTCAAAAAATTGCTGTTTCATAGGTCAATTTCAGTTGTGAAATGACTACTCACCACAAACATACGACAATTTGACATTCGTTGATTGCGACCCTATAAGGATGTCAAACACAATCATATGTACCTAACAATATTTATAAATGTAAAATAAAATAAGAATTATCATAAAACTAAATTAGAATAATATTATTCTATGTCAAACCATTTTTTGTGAAAAACTACAGACAGATACGGTAGATTGCAGATGTTATCGAACAAAAACAGGTTAATGAGTGCACAGTAGGCACAATATAAGTATTTCTGTTTCTTTTTAGAATTGTGATGATTAGAAATGTTGGTAAATATCTTCAATTCAGTCAGTTATGTGCCACGTGTGATACACCCATAGGTGATCATGTATCTTTCGATACATGACTGACGAAGCAGATTTTTTTTCCCGTAGTAGGTTGCTATTTCTTTCTGCGCTAGACCAGTTGTCATCCAAGGCTCTAGAACCCTGTCTTTCATGATATTAACCAATAGCTAGGGGAAGAAGGAGAAGATTCATACCTTTCCCAAGGGTAATTAGCTTGAATTACAGCTTGAATAAGACTAGGAAATGCTGGCTGTAATGAAATCGGAGAGGTACAATTTATAGGGTTTGATTACCAAACATGAGGTAATATTATGCGTGAGTAGAAGCATTTTCCCACACTTTCAGCACAATTTTAGGGGTGCTTATTATGGATGAAGGTGTATTATACATGGGGAATTATGTTAATAGTCAAAGGGATTTAGGTCTGTTGAGTTAAGTGACCCCGTGATTGTTGTGATGTAATATTTGCTGAAACATTGTTTTACGAACTGATATTACAGGACAAAATAACACAGTAATCAACATATGTCCCAAAAGGATCCCTGATGATGGCCAAAGGAAACTTGCTGAAACATTGTTGTCTATAATAACATCTATAACAACCAAGATGAGAAAAATAGTTTGAAATAAAACATGTTGACAATTACACATCTCACAAATAAAATACAAAAGATTGGCTACCGTCCAGGACATCACAGGTTTGAAAGAGATAGTTGAAATTTCTGGTAGACATAATGATGAAAGAGGACTTGGAGAATTTGACTCACACAGAACATATTGAAGAGAGTTAGAAGGAAACCTTGACTAACCGATTTGTCCATACATTGAACACTGCTGCTATATCTGGTCTGGTTCACCTGCTATTCATCTTGAGGTTTTTGACAAACTCCAAAGAAGGATCTGCAATGTAATCGATCCTGACCTGGCATCTCGACTTCAGTCACTTTCTCACCGACATGGCATGGCTTCCCTCTGTCTTTTCTACAAATATTTTCATGACAATTGTTTTGATGAGCTTTTTCACTGGTGCCCCGACTACATGAAATTAAGCATGCTACTAGATGGTCATCTAGGTCCCACCCATCTACTGCTGAAATAACTAAATGCAAGCACCACTTCTACCTCAACAGCTTCTTTTCTCGCACGTCCCACCTGTGGAACTCTCTTCTGTTTACGTGCTTTCCTGATAACTACAATCTTTAAAAATTTAAATGCAACATCAATCACCATCTTCTGTCTTCTTGAATCCTCTTCATCTTTTATCCTTTCCTCAATTCTCCTTATACTCCATATTTTCTTTTACTTTCACTCCCCGTAACCCCCTGCGTACCAGTGGCATTTACACCTTGCTTGGGGTGAAATGATTAAAAAACCTAACAAGCTTGTGTAAATGGATGGCTTAACAGGAAGTGGGTGCAACAGTAAAAACACAAAGTTAGCTAAGAGCTACAAAGAATAGGAAATTGTGGAGAGCCATGATCATTCACATTTTGAAGGAACATGGCACATAAATGACTGATTGAAAAGTAGCTTTTGAGAAAATTAGCAGCAAAATAAAAACTAAGGGCAAGTAACTCTGTTGTGTAGAGTGGTAATCATACATGTTATATCCCAGTTGAAATGACTTTTTTCTTTTTCCAGTAATAATTTAACAAAGTTTCACAATGCCTATCATGTCCTTGGCACTGCCTGTGTATGGGTGGGGGGTGGATTAAGGAAGGAACCTCACATTAAATGTGACCTTGTTTTGTGGCTGGTAGGTGGGTAAGTAGTTTCATACCCACCTCAGAAATCAAACGAGCACGTGTATGTTGGATTTTAGCTGTCTCCAACCAGCAGTTTAGATGCAGCTGTCGTCTTGGAGACCTACTCACACTTTAACCTTTAGCACTTTACAGGCAAAATGTGTGTCCTCCTGTTGCAGATGACTGTGCCTGAATTTTGTCATGTCCGGCTTACAGCTAAAGTGACCTTGACTGATATCTAGGCTGCTGTGGTTGAAAGATCAGCATAATACAGTGGAAGGAGAAGCAGCTTTCTAAATAATATATTATAGACTGTTAAAAATTCAAACAAGAATCCTATTAATAAATTTGATAGTGGTAATGCATAGTGAACACTAACTTGTCTATAGGTCAGTTGCTGTTCATTTGCTTGAAAAGTAAAATGATGTCAAAAAGAATAAAATAATGTGGCAAAAATTTTGACTTAAAAGAATTAAATTGAATTTTCACTTATTGGCAAAGTCACACCTCTGGACCCAGTGTGTCAAAAGGATGTTTTTTTTCTCTTGACATCACTATTATTACTGTATACTCTCGTGACTCCTTCGGCAATGTTTATTCTTTAAAAAAAAAAAACGATGTTTAAAATTTCAATAACATCAAAAATGTTAAACATTATTTAGTTGTTATTTAAAAAATTATAAAAATATGTGAACCAACTACAATACAATAATGTTTTTTTAATCTTCTGGGTTTCAGTCATGTACTGTCTTCAAGGCATGAAACAAGTTCTCCCTGTTCAAATAAAATTGTTTTTAAGAATTACTTTCAATTTTGCTTCTTTTTGATAATCAGCATGTGAAAAATTAATGCTAGTTGAAGCTTAAATATGCTCAAATCTTGTCTCTTCTTGCTTTTAATTAGCTCAATAAATCTTGCCCTTTTAGGGATGCTAAATTATACAAGTCTTGCTTTATGCTTTGATGCCATCTATCAACCTGTTTTTTTTTTGTTTTTTGGGGGGGGGTTTTTAATGGAATATTTAAAAGCAATCATGAATAGGATGATCAGAAATTTATTGAAAATAAAGGTTCTGCAATGTTTTCATTTGAAAATTTTCCTCTATAAGTTGATTCAAAATATTGATACAGAGCTCTTTAGCTCATTTTTTTCCATTGCTAATATTTTAATTTTATTAAATTTAAAACAAATTAAATGTCTAATATTTTCTAAAATCCTAATCATGTGAACGTTTGTTTCTCTTTATAACATTATTGTCATTGTCCAAAAACGATTTTCCACAATAATTTTTTTTATTCATTTCACCATGAGCAAGGCAACAAAGCCACTAAGATGCAGGGGTTTACCAAGTGTGAAAGAATATAAGAAAAAGAAAAACATTATTAAGGAGTGAGAACAATGAAAGAACTGAAATGAAGGCAGCTGTTTTCTAAAAATAAAATATTTCTAAAATATTTATCTCTAATCTTTTTTATTACAGGTTATTTCGCAATTTCGAAGATTGCATTCAGGAAGAATTATATGCTTGCATTGACAACAAACATGAACTGAAAAAGATTCTCGAATCATTTGAGCATTCCTTCAATTACATCTGCCATGAAGGATTTGAACGTAAGTTTGGTCCATTTCTCAGACAACATAATCCAAATGTTTGACATTGAAAATTACCTCTGCTTGCACAAATATTTTGTTAATAATGAATGGTTTATCTTTTGAAAGTTTTCTTTTGAATAAATGTTCACATAATACAAGGCCCAAGAGCTGCTCAAGGTAGAGGGTTACTGTTGTAACCTAGGGAAAGTTACTGAATAGAATAATCAAATGAAGGTTGTTAATGAATGATAATACTTAGGACAAGAACAACACATATAAGATTTGCCAGTGTCGCGTAGAAGAAGTAGTCAACTGCTATAAGTGAGTTGAGTGAATTCCACAATGAATCTCTAACTCTAGACCATGGAGACATACCCATTATCGTCCGTAGGTATGCTACAACAGTTACTGAATGAGGTTGCATGAAATAAGAGAAGGAAGTAAGCACAGCTTATGAGGATATATAGGATAGTTAATGATTGACCCTAGACTAGAATAGATTAAGATTGTAATGACTGAGGAAGCATTCTCTTGGGAGTGTTATATAAAGTAGTGGTTCTTGGAGAAGAAACTGTTCAAGTGGAACTTCCTTCTCACTCATACAAAAAGAATAAGGATGATTCAACTCTCTGTATATGTAGCATGGTTGATCCTAGCTGTAAAGATCTGAACTGGTGGAACTAAAAGATGTAGTTCATCTGAACATTTTCCATGGAAATAAATTGCTTTGGATATCTCGAAGGCATCTGACAGGGTTTGGAAAAATCAAAAGGTTATTGTATTTCTGGACAAATTTTTGATCTGATTACACCTTTCATATCAAATCATGAAATGAAAGTTGTCTTGAATGGCCACTCTTCTGGATTTTTTTGCATGAATGCAGGTGTTCCCCAGGGCTCTGTTCTTGGATCTACGCTGTTTCTAATTTTCATCAACAGCCTTTTCAATGTCCTCAGTTCTCAACTCTGTATCTATGCTGATGACACAATTATTTACTCCTGTCTTAATGGTGAGTCAGATCAGTTTAATAAAGTCAAATTGGCAGCTGATCTGAAAAATGACCTACAGTTTGTTGTTAACTGAGTCATGAAATGGCTTGCTAATTTTAACACTTCAAAAATGAAACTGCTCTTTTTTAATCATCTAAGAGAATCTATTTTGCCTTACATCAGCATGGCTGATGCTAACCTCCAAGAAAGTGACTCATTGCAACTTCTTGGTCTAACATTTTCTACTGACTTGAAGTGAAAGATTATATTGAATCAATTGTTAGGTCTCTTGTTAAGAAAGTTGGTTCACTGTGTTGTGCTTGATAATTTTTGTCACCAGAATCTATCTTACACATTTATAAGTCTACCATTTGTCCATACATTGAATATTGCTATCACATCTGGTCTGATGCTTCTATTATTTATTTAAAGATTCTAGATAATATCCAAAGAATAATCTGCAATGTTATTGGTCCTGACCTAGCATCTTGGCTTCAGTCACATTCCCATCACTGTAATGTAGCTTCTCTGCTTTTTCTATAACAGTTTTCCTGGTAATTGTTCAGATGAGTTTTCCTCTTTGGTACTTTATGAATTTAATTGCAGTACTAGATTGGCAACTAAGTCTCTTTATTTTATAATTAAAATGGCTAGATGGAACTGTAAGTTCTATGCAAACAATTTCTTCTCACACATCTTGCTTGTGGAACTCTCTTCTGTCTGCTTGCTTTCCAGTCCTCTGATCTTCGAAAACATTTTCAAAATATGTTTAGTTGAAGCCATAAAATTGAGTTCAAAATATTTAGATTTCAGCATTAAATAACCCATAGAGATGTTATGTCAACCAACCATGAAAAGACATAAATCATTGATGGCTTCTTTTATAAGCTGTTAGTTTCAGACTTTCTTTATATACAGCATCTATACTTCTCTGCAATTCTTGAAGGATTGTTGATCCAATTCTCATCGTTGTCGTTTTAATGTTGGTGTTACATATTACCCAAGTATTGGTGATGTTGATGCAAGGAAAAAAAATATATAATGCTCATAATGCTTCTGTACTAGTTGTCTCCTGTCAACAGCATTTTTTTTTTTTTTTGTGGATGCAAGTGTTTTCATCTTCAATACATGCCAAAATAATCCATTTTTGTACAATTATCCAAAATCATAAATTTTTTATGGTGGGTGGATGCTAGTTTTAGTTTGATTTGTTGTCATTCATAGATTTCATCTCAACAACAATACAAAATTGCTGAAAGATTTACAGCATGGATCATGGAAAGTGGTTGCTATTTTTTTTTTTTCATTTCCAACATGAGAACAGCAATAAACTTAATCATTTTAAAAAGATACCCAAAACAAACATTTTAGAGTGAATAACAACACTTACAGTTTTTGTCCAACATGTCATTATTTTACAATTTTTTTCTGTGTTAAAATTATTTCAGCATTGTTTAAATTGTCTGGTTGTGATAAAAACTAACCAACCACACATTCTCTTTGCAAACATGGGAGCAATAACAATAAACCAATAAATTCTACTATTTGTAACAGATTAGTAATCGGGATAGAGTTGTAAAATTAAATATTCATGAAAATTTGTTTTGATAGCAGATATTGCATTGTAATATGATTGTCGGTCATCAGTATTTGATTAACAATTGAGAAATAAGCTTTGCTAATATTTCAGTATTTATTCTAAACATTTTCAAAGGAAGTGATTTTCTCTTCCAATTTATCATTTGTCTGATGATGCACAAGCAAAAAATCAAATCAAATAGGATGCATGCATCCAAAGACATTAATTTGGGTGATTATCTGCAAATATTGGGTTAGAAGAAAAATTTGTGGCTTTTTTTTTAATTTCAAAGTCTATATTTAGACTTTTGTACATAGATTTATTCAACCACATTTGTGCCATTTTGTTTTGTTACCTTTCACCATCTTTGAGGCGGCTTCATGATTTGATATTCACAGAACATAGAATCTTTCTGGGTGATAAACTGGTCTTAGTGATTTTTTTTTACAAGCTTCCAGAGAATTTAAGTGCTTCTCCGTAAGAGAATTTTGTAGGGATCAATCTAAATGGTAATCTGAAGATGCAGAATCAGGTGTGTAATCAAATGTACCAACAAATTTAATTCATGTCTACAAAGCTATGGTAACGCCTGGTGTTGTTCTGATGGAAGATAACATCCTTCTGTTTAGTCAGTTCCAGATGCTTTTCATCAATTGCTCCCTTTAAATGATCTAATTGGAAACAATACTTGTCTGAATTCAACATCTTGTGGGAAGGGTTTGTAATAGACAATGCCATTACAATCACATCAGATACACAACATCTTGTCTCCAGATGCAGACTGTTTTTAGGAGTGGTTAATCATGGCTCAATTAACCTTTTTCCCCTCTACATTGTTGCAAACAATCCATTTTTGGCAAACTTGGACATGGAAAACAGAGTGTCAAAAAAATGGTTTTTCCCTTCATACCACTATTATTTTAACTATCTTCACTCCTTAGCAGTGTTTATTGTTTTAAAAAGTGATGAATATTTTCTTGGTATCGGATGCAATCATGGAACTTTTTCAGTATATTATCATTTTCCAAAATTATAATTGATAATTATAGAGATAATTGTTGGGGAGGGAGAAAATGTCTGTTTAAATTAATGCCAGGATAATAAGTGTGAAAATAATACAAAACAAAAGACTGATTTTGGTAAACTTGGACCTTCATGCACACAAAAAAAAAAACAAAGTATCAAAAAGACAGTTTTTCCCTTCACACTGTTAGTATTCTAACTACCTTTACTCCTCGGCAATGTAATTTTTAAAGAATTTATGGATTTATTTTTAATATGACATTTTTTGTTTCTTCAAACGTCATTTTTAGTTGTGTTTAGTTGTTTATACTTGTGTTTGAAATAGACGAGTCATTTTTGTTTTAAGCAATGTGTATTACGGCAATATGATGAAAGTGAAGTTATACATAATTTTTGTTCTTGAGAATTTAAAACAAAAATATTAAACACTATTAGATTGTTTATTTACAAGAATAATTTTATATTTACAACATTCTAAAAGCTAATACAATGCAATATTTATCATTTACCAATTTATGAAGAAATAAATATGAAAAACTTTTTTATTCATATTTACTAAATTATTAAAATATGTGAAGCAACTATAAGAAAATATTTACCATTTATAAAGTTTGAATCAATTGCAAATTAGCCACTGTTTTGTCAACCATTCCAATAAACAATATAATAGTGTACATTTCAGAATATGAATATATTTCATAATTTTCGGTCACGTGTAAAATATAAAATCATGTGTTAAATATAAAATATAATATCATGTGTAAAATATAAAATCATGTGTTAAACCTATTGAAAAATGATACTAAATTTTCTTCCAACCCACTATATTGATTAAAACTATTTTATTTTGTGTGTGTGTGACCAAAAAAAACTTAGAACAGGGCGGATGTCATTTTTTTACGAAAAAGGAAGCATTTTCTAATCTGCATAACATTTTGGACTGTTGATTTTATATCAGTGGAATTTTTAAATCAAATCTCATCTCAAGTTGATGCTGAGGCTTATTCATATCGGGCAAAACAAATCCTGCACAACTTTTATTATTTTATGTATAAATTGTGTGATTTGCTTATACAATCATTTAAATATTTTGATCATTTTTAGTTTTTTCAAGAAATTAATTTTAAAACGTTTTGATCCTAAATAATTTAAAAAAAACATGAGTTTTCATTTTAGATGTGGAAATTTATAACATTTATTTTTACATTTCATATTTTTTAAAAGTAATTTGGCAGTTTTCAGAAAAATAACTCTTTGATACAACACTGGTAGCAAATTGTTTTTTATCTTGAATTTTTATATTTTATTTTTTTCATTTGAAAACAGATATTTCTAAAAAAAATCAGACAGGGGCAAAATAACAATAAATTTGTTACAATAAATGTCAATTTGAAAGATTAATATTTATTATTAAAAAAAGAATAGAAAAAAATATTAGAAAAGTTATTTACAGATATGTTGCCCACGGACTCTTTTTGCATTTGTACTGATGCATGTTTACCACAGGCTTATAAAAGAAGACTTCTTTTTTTATTATCAATTCCTACAGTTTGTTTTAACAGAGCATTTCAATAAAAAGTAGCAAAAATAAAGTAAAAAAACTAATGAAAATTAATAAGAACAGTGGTTCATCTAGAGTGTTCAGAAAGCTTACGATGAAAATGTTTTTTGAATGAATGACTGATGTTCATTATGAAGAGCACTCTGAATATCTTCCAATTAATTTAGATTATTTTTTTCTTTTGTCTGTTTCAGTGTTAATGAAAATCAAGCCATGCACCGAAAAGCCTGAATTCAAGAAACAAATGGGTCAATGTTCGGAGAGTGCCATTTACCGATTCAATGAAACAAAGATGAGGCTGATGACTAACTATATGATTAAGGAAAAGGCGTGCAGGTAAGTAAACTTATATATCCAGCAAGACTTGAGATTAGCATACTATTGATGACAGAATATTAGTTTTGGATGACTGGCTAGGATTTATCAGACCATGCTTGGATGACACAAAATTTTTAATTAAAACCCTGTTTATTCTAAAGTCAACTAATTTCTTAAAAGGAAAAATAAAATTCTTACTTCTCACCGATAGTGATGAGCTTCTAATAAATGTCACACACACAAACACACACACGCCTTCAGCAGTTCTTTTTAAACTGGTGAATGAAACTGGTTTAGGGACTTAATTTTAGATTTATATTTTTTTAATCATTTCACCCCAAGCAAGGCAATAAAGCAACTAAGACGCAAGGGATAACTGGGAATGGAAGAGAATGAGAAAACTTTAAAAGGAACTGGAAACCTAATCCTAAACAAGAATCAAAAGACAGGGAAGGAGTGTGAAGTGGGCAACAGGCAAACATGTCTACTTCTGTTAAATTTGTATTGTTTATCTTGAAAACATGAAAAACATTAAGATCTAGCTGTAAGAATTAATTTTAATAAACACGTTTTCTGTCAATTTTTAGTTAAAAAACATGAATGAATCATTAACAATGTTTTTGCATTGCAATTTCTGCTTATCATAAGCTAAATAGTTTACACTTATCATGAAGTATCATAAAGTTTATGCTTATCATAAAGTTTATGCTTATAAACTAAATAATTTCTGCTTATAAGCTAAATTTAAAATACAAGAGAAAATTTTAAAAAAGATAAGGAAATTTTAGTCACATGAGGCAGGAAATTGTAAATGAAAATCTTTTGATAAAGACTAAAAGATTTTGTAAATATTTGAAATGCATTAATATTCATAATACAGAAAATGTATGCATAGACCACAATTCTTAAACTGTGATGAAAAAGTTACGTTGTGCATGAAAATTAATTAATAAGAGCATTTCCTTGTAAAATTGATCAAGGTGGTTTGGCTTTAAATGTTTAAATAAAAATAGTGTAAAATAAAATTGAATTTGTTGCTGTTAAAACAGAGCCTATGCCTGGGCTCATAACCTATAGAATAATTGTTCATGGCTAAGCAAAATGTACAAAATCAAATCCCATTCTTTAAACATACAATGCAATCTTCATCTAAGCTTATGACTGACCAGCCAATGATCACCCAACATTGCATTACAATTTCGTCCTTGACAGTGTTCAAATGTTGGGAAAGAGTGTGCTACATTTTCACAAGGTCACAATGAAAGACAAATACTATGTTGAGAAATAAGAATGTGAACTCTGTTTCCCATATCATATGTACGTGTTTTATCAAGAGCTTCATCTCCTTATCAGGGTGGGTAGGTAGGTGTTATGTGTGACAACTTCTGCAATATCAGCTCTTGCCCCTGCCAAGTCTTCGCACATCTACGCATACTGACATGGTGGTGTGTCAATACGAAATGGAGGCTTCAGAACTGCATGACAAATAAGTCCATCTCACGCCAACAGTGGACTAGCAATACCCTGATCCCAAGCATGACTGTTAGTATGGACAAACACCTAGATATACCCTATTTCTGGTTTTATTGTCACTTGATCACCAAAATATCCTTATCCTCCTCTTTACTTTTACATTAATCTTTGGTTAAAGAGGTTCAAAAAGAACTATTTGCTGGTCCATTAAACAGAACCACTTGATATCGAGATAAAAACCACCTTTTCCTCTTCTACATGGGTATCTATAGTACCACAACTGTTTTTTTATTGGTTAGGAAGAAATCCCAGCATACATCTGTAAGATTTTTCTGTAATTTTGGGGAGATTTTTAGCAGTCATTCTAATAAGTAGTAACCCTTTTTTTTTTTTTTTTACTAATTTATTTTTGCATTCATTTAAAAAAATGTTGATGTTTTAACTTTTTAAATCTTTATTATAGCCTGTACTAATTGCAGTAAAAACAAATAAATCTTTACTAATTGCAGTAAACACAAATAAATAATAGGTGCACGGCACGTAAATCTTAGTTTAATGATTGCATGGATCAAAATAAATATTTCCTAAAAATTTCAATGATGTTTTTCTTATGCTATGAACAACGATAAATGATAAAGTAAAAAAAATGAAACAATAACATCTTGATTTCACGATGGTTTAAAAAAAATTTTGTGGGGAGGTGATGATTAAAATTGTTTTACAGGACAGTTCCAGAACAATGGTGAAAAAGTTAAACTGGAACCCTGGTTTCTAACTATCTGGAAAATTCCAGTTTATCTTTAATATCTATTCTTCATGAAAGTTAAGATCATCTTTCTTACAGTTTTTTATTTATAAAAAACAGTACAGTATAGGACCAAAATCCAACAAACAAAATTTGAAATTTATTAATTTATAATTATTTTCCGATTTGTATCTATATAGGTTTTACTGGTTTAGGGTATTTCTTTTTAATCCCTATGACTGAATTTTTCTTGATTTTTTTTCCAAAATATATATTACAGTTATTTGCATGAAACTATCATGGAGGTTGAAAAGAAAATTAATGTGGAAAGATGCTCGAAATGCCGAACATTGAACTAAATGTACAGTGTCAATACAACCCACCACGGATAACGCTGTTCGAGAGATTTTAATGTTTATGATTGTTATTGTTAATTTAAACAATTATTTTTTCATAAGTAAAGGAAATATTAGGTTGGGACAAAAGAAATGACAATTTTGAACCACAAATTTTAAAACATAACTTTGCTTTATCATCACCATCATCATAAATTAGATGGCCTTGTGTGATCATGAAGTCACTGCACAGCTGAGCACCTGACCAGCTTCCTCCATATGTCTCAGTTGCATGCCAATGTTTGATTCTTTGTAAATGATCTTCTAGTCAGGGAAGTAAAAAGTTTTAAATGGTTTTTTCCCCTTTGTCTGCCCCTTTTGTAGGATGGCAAAAAAATTATTTATTGGCTCTTATGACACGCCCATACCATTTCAACTTTCTCTTGTTGACGGTGGTTATGAGGTCTTTCAGTGGGACTGTTTTTTGTCCAATGGTGTCTTGTATTGCGGTATTTTTGATGCAGTCTATATAGGACATGTCTAGGATGGTTCTGTAGTAAAGCTTGGATTCTTTTCTTATTGCATTGTTGAATATTTGAGCTTAAGTTAATGATTGAATCAGCTCCTACTATTTATATTCAGACAATTGTCCTCATCTTTGTTGTTTTTATCACAGCATTTCAGTCATTGTCATATCTAATTCTTCATATCTTCTGCATATCTATCTGAATAACCTACAGGAAATTTGAGGATTCTTTATTTTATTTATTAGGTAGATTCAAAATTCCACTGCTCATGTCTAGGGATATCATCTTAAGCAGGCAGAAAGGTATATACCTCTGTAGATTAAATCCAAAATACAGATGGAATTTTTAAAATTATATTATGCATCTAGATTGATACGCACCTGAGGAAGGCCAGAGTGATAAAAACAACAAAGATGAGGACAATAGTTATAATAGTATATAGGATAATCATCTGAGAATTTCAGACAATACAAAAATGCAAATAAATATATCACCTAAATCATCATCATCATCATCATCATCCTCATCCCTGGATGTATGTGGTAAATTGCACTGCTGATGACCTGGCATCTTTTGTATATATTGTTGCACGGGTTTTGTTGGGACTACGAAGGAGAAAAAAGAAAATAAAAAATAAATAAGAGACCCCAAGGTCAGATATAAAAATAATGTGAAAAAGAACGTTGAAGGGAATCTCCAATTCGGACGTCGGTAAACGCAGAGAGAAATGAAACAATTCGCAGACACAGAACAACAGAAGACAACACGAAGAATATATAATACAAAAGATTTTATTTCTAGAATACACGGAAGTTTGAATGTAAGAAAAAAAAAACTAAAGAATACAAGGGATGGGGAGATAAGTTACTAATTAAACAAATATTAATGCTTAGAAATATATATGAATACCAAAGATAGCAGATTATAAGATATAAAAAACATGCAGAAACTTACATAAGGTTAAATTGACGTCAATTGACTATTATCGGGGTACAGTTTGTTCAAAGGATATTTATACTGTACACTTCTTTGAGAGTAACGGATGGGATTGACAATGTTCTAACATGAATTTTTGACTGGCGACGTCCGATCCATGTTGATGGCGAGGAGAACATACAGAAAAATGACGGGAATGTAGCTAACTTGGGTTGATGATGTTGATCTAGATTTTCGCGTCGGTCCTTTGATTTTTGATGGCATCTAATTCTTCTGAACATCAAACAACGAAGTCTGGTTCTGGAAACAACTGCTTCTTCTAATGGCAAATAGCTAAGACTGGTTTTGGTGACATCCGACTCCTCCGCATCACAGCCAACTATGTGTGGTTGTTGTTACCTCAAACATTTGAAACGAAAAACTGCTATATGTTGAGTCACGTGTTGGCCTTCAAAAAAAGGTATGCGTGATTCACGGACCCTGTTAATGTCATCCTCACTTATCTGTCAAACAGCATTCGTTTTTGGCCAGCGACTATGGAACTGGCTAACATCATTCACACCTGTCAAACAGTAAAATTTGTCAAATCAGGAACCAGGTAGGAAATGGGGGTAGAAAGGAAGGTTCTAAGAGAACTGGCCCTGACTCATCTGGTTATAAAAACAATATATATCTCTCACAATCTGCATATTCAAGAAATAAAGAAGTTATTAAGATTCATGTTTCGTCACAAATACAAAAGGTACTGAAAATATACTTATAAAATCTGAGGTGAGGGTACAAATATGGGGTTAACGTAACAATATATCCCAGTCGTATGCTTCCAATCGACTTGGTGATGTTGTTAGCCCATTTTTTAAACTTTTTGCCTCTTCATCTGAAAATATTAGGTGGGACTTTAAAAAAAATGATGCTGGTGGAAAGATTGTTGGCTCTTGTGAGATGACCATACCATGGATGTCGTAAGGTTGCTACATAGTTGAGAACCTGACCAGCTCCCTCTATA